GGCGCGGCCGTGCAGGCCGCCATCCTGTCCGGCGACCAGAGCGAGGCCATCCAGGACGTGCTGCTGGTGGACGTGGCGCCGCTGTCGCTCGGCATTGAGACGGCGGGCGGCGTCATGACCAAGATCATCGAGCGCAACAGCCGCATCCCGTGCAAGCAGACGCAGACCTTCTCCACGTACGCCGACAACCAGCCGGCCGTCACCATCCAGGTGTTCGAGGGCGAGCGCGCCATGACCAAGGACAACAACCGCCTGGGCACCTTCGACCTGACGGGCATCCCGCCCGCGCCGCGTGGTGTCCCCAAGATCGAGGTCACCTTTGACCTGGACGCCAACGGCATCCTCAACGTCGCCGCCAAGGACACGAGCTCGGGCCGCTCCCAGAACATCACCATCAAGAACGACAAGGGCCGCCTCTCGGCCGACGAGATCCAGCGCATGGTGGACGAGGCTGAGCGGTACAAGGCCGAGGACGACCAACAGCGCGACCGCGTCGCAGCGCGCAACCAGCTGGAGGGCTACGTGTTCAGCATCAAGCAGGCCATCGACGAGGCCGGCGACAAGCTCCCGGAGCAGGACAAGACCAGGGCGCGCGAGGAGTGCGAGGCGACGCTGCGCTGGCTGGACAGCAACACCCTGGCTGACAAGGAGGAGTACGAGCATCGCCTCAAGGAGCTGCAGCAGAAGGTGCAAGAGGTCATGGTGCGCCTGCACTCGGGCGGCCCGGGCGCTTCGCAGCCCCAGGCACCCCAGGGCTGCGGGCAGCAGGCTGGCAGGCACAACGGCCCCACCGTCGAGGAGGTCGACTAAGCAACCCAGTCATTAGTGTGATAAAGACTTTAGTACAAGTGAGATTCTGGTGTAAATGGCTGTGTGAACACGAGCATAAGTAGCAGTATTACTTTCACTTCCGAAGAGGTGTGTTGTCTGTATATATGTAAGTTTTGTAGATTGAATGTAATGTATAATTAATTGGTTCTGCATTAGCAGTGCGCACTATATTGACTGATTATTTGATAATGTTAATTTAGATAGCGAATGTATATGTTGTGAGAGAATTTGACCTCTTGTTCTCTGTTTAACTGTAGTACTACAAGGATGAATCTGTGTGGGTGAATTATTTAATTCAATAAATTATTAGGTGAGATATTTTTAAACCTGAGTGTTATATTTTCCTTTTGGTCTTTTCATATTATAAACAATTCAGATCAAGTAAAGATTTTCTTCAAACAGTTTATTTAAATACCATTAACATTTACCTTTCAACTCTTGAGAATGTTTTAATTAACCATGGCAAGTTTCACATTGACAACAACAATTGAAAGCAAACTGCTGCGACACTCTTCAACAATTCTTTTTGTTTAGGAGTAAGAGTTGAAGCGAGTTGAAGGCAGTAGAGGCACAGTAGAGAGAACACATAATTGTAAATGAAGTTATGTATGGATAGATAAGGGAACAATTTTTTACAAAAAATTGGGTTACGGCCCACTCACCGAACACCCAACTAACCCAAAGTCCCAGGGTCTTTTCACCCCCTATTATTCACCCAAGGCCTGTTCACCCACATCTCACTCATGCCTGAACAATTCACCCACAAAGAAATTAAATCCGAGGGGTGTTGCCTGCTTGTGGGGTATTGCCGAGGGCAGGAGAGGAGCAGGTGCGGGCTACCGCGATTCAACAAACAATCAAAAAACATTGCCCATAAAATTATAGTACAGAGTTTGCAAGCCACATTTTTATACTATGGACCAAATTTCTGAAGATAGACCATTCTAGCGAGTCCAGATAAGAACACAAACAATCAAAAATTACCATTAGCAGAACTCAAAAACAGCTTGTAAATCACATTGTATCTTTTTTGTAACATACCCTTAAATTCTAAATATTTTTCTCTTTACCAAACGGCTTTTAAAGATTGACATTATATGAGCTTTCTGTAGTGTCTCTTTCCACTCCTTTCTGATTCTTCCCAACGCGCTAGAATGGTCTATTATTCCCAAGTGTGTGTGTGTGTGGGGGGGGGGGGGGGGCACACTCTCATGTTCAAGGGTTTCCTTTACACTATCACTGTACTTCAAACATTGTGACGTCATGTTAAAAGACTAAGACTCGAGTAGCATTGGTTCGAATACTGTGATACATTTGTTAAACTGTAAAACTGTAGCTTGTGGCCTTGTGAAACATTTTGCTTTGTTCATGAAAATAATAATACACCTGGGTGAAAAGCTCCCTGGATCAATAATACTCATGGGTGAATTAACCAGGGCTGAAATACTTGTGGGTAAATTACAACTGGGCCAAAGTTACGTTGGGTCAATCGCTCCCAAATTTCATTGTACTGAGCACAATACTGATTCTTCCAACTCCCAAAAGGGGAGCAGGATATCCTCTATCGATAGAGGTAAAGAACGAGTAAGAAAAGTAAAATCATTATGAGACTGATAAGGCAGCTAAACAACCAATCTCAGCAAGGAAATATTAAAATCTTTCTTAATTTTGAGATTACCTCTGACATCTGTTTTTTCCCATCTGTTGCTTTATCCTTTGAACTACTCACATAATCAATGGCAATTTTATGATTCACATTAGTAAGAATGTCATCTATATCACAGTTTGTGTGTTTTTCTAGCATCTTGCAAAGAGCTGCAATGAACCACGAGCCACACCTGGGATGATGGAATGAAGCATGGTCTGTGAAAAAAATGAAAGTAACCCATTAGGTTAATTACTGTTTAAAAGAAAAGAAAAGAAAAGAAAAGAAAAGAAAAGAAAAGAAAAGTGAATAGATACCTGGAATTGTAGAAAAGAAAAGAAGAAAATCATCCTTTATATCTGGCCATGGCAGGTCCATTTTTGCTGTCCAACCACGTTCTTTGTATGGTAAGAAAGTCTTCCTACTTTCCTGCTTAGAAGATAATGCTACATCACCATCATGAAGTTCTATGTGAGACTGCACATTGTGCCCTCTACAAGACTAGGAAATAAATAAGTAAAAGCACAAAACTGCATTAAGTATGACAATACAAGAAAATGTAAACAAAAAAGAAACCAAGCTGACAATAAACCATCATAATTTTATACTTACTTGTACAAAAATCAGCTTTGGCTTTTTATCTAGAGTAACACAATTTTCAGCCTGAAATGGTTCAAGCAATGTACTTATGTGGTAAATATCATCAGAGGAGAATATGCAATCTCTTTCCAGACCATGTGTAGATACAATTACAACTAGACAGCTTCTTTTAGAATGATCTTCCCTGCTGACTAGAAATAAACCAATGGAAAATATGAAATACTTGGTTTGGGGAAAGTGCAGACAAACACGAACTATTAATAGGCATACATATAATATACCTAGAAGGTAGGAAAAATAAGTCATACCTACCAGCATTTACAAAATCAATTATTTCTTCCTTTGTTTTGTCTATAAATGGTCTTACTTCAAAGCCTAATTTAGTGAAGCATTTTGTCGATTGAGCAACATCTTGGTCGCAACCTTCACGGTAAGACAGGTGATAATCAGGAACCTAAGAGAGATTTTGTGTAAGAAAATTGTCAACTGAGTGATGCTTGGAAAAATAGGAACTTACCTGAAATTTACTGTGGGCAATAATTAGGGCAAGTCCTCTGGAACTGTAGTCCATTTTATATTTCTGTAGGGGGTCATGTTGAGATGTTGAGCCAGACTGCTGAGGCACTTTCACATCTAAGTCTAGATTCTGTAACTCTGTTGATAGTGCATCCTGAAATTTCTTCTTTTCACTTTCATCTATTGGCTTTCCAATAGAGGACAGCTGTGATAACTTCTCCACAAGTTTTTCTGCAACACCAGGTTTATTACGATTGTGATAGTGATAGATCAGCTCTTTTGCAATTTGGAATTGCTTCTGCTGAAATGATTCTTGTGGACCCTCGGTAACTTCTGTTAAAAGTAACAAAGAAAAATCATGATGATCACAGAAGTGGGTTGTGAGACACGTAAAGGGAACACCAGTGAAAAGATGATTCTGAAATATGAGCTAGACATTAGAGGACTAACCAGGGGGCTCATCATGAGAAGTTGTTGTCTGAAGTTGAGATTTATTTTGAGAAAATTTGATAAGCCTTGTCAACTGATGTACTACAACTGGGTTTTGATCAACAAGTTGTTTAACAGATAAGATAATAGTGAGCAGATGAAGAATGCTGCCTTTTGATTTCAACTCTTCAGAAAGAGCTTTCATGAACTTTACATCTTTAAACATAAGAAAATTAACAATTATAGTTACAACCAAATTCAATACATCAAAAGAAATTCGGTTTAAAATGTAAATTCTTACCAGGACATGTAGAGTAAACAATAAGGAAATCGGTGATAACTGGAATTTTGTAAGAGTTAGAATTGCCAGTCTCAGTTTCTTTATATTTTGGATTATCCAAACTGTCACAATGGCTTCCCTTAAAGATGAAAAATCCCAAATTAAAATGGAAAGCTTAGCTTAACACCTTGAGTCCCAGAGATATTAACAGGGGTGACATTTTCCAAAAAAAGGATAGCCACTGCATATGCCTTGGTGGGACTCAACATGTTACCTTCAACTTCAAAAGGGTTATTGCGACTGCTTGTTCATAGCGAACTGGAGCCACCCATAACTTGGGTCACGCAGTCAGGGCCATCCCCAGCGTCCAGCTAATGCTGGTCCGTCTGAGGATGTAAAACCAACAAAACAATAAAAATAGAAAAGAAAAAAACAATAAAAAACAAGTGGCAGATTAAGAAAATGGATTATAAAACATACATTAGGCTCGCTTGCATGAATGAAGAAGATCTTGGGTTTCCCAGCAAGTGTTGGACAGCTGTCAGCGAAAAAAGGTGTCCAGAGTGAATCAAGGTTAAAGAACCCATCTTTGGCGCAAAGGTATGCCTGCTGTCGATATGAGAGCACTGCTATGAATAAACAGTCTCTGTCTGAATGATTATCCGAAGCAACTGTAATGACATGAAAACAAAGTCAAACAAGATAATACAAGAAGAATTCACTTAATTAAGTTAAAGTGATGAATAAAACACAATACCTTCAAGAATGACTTCATTTATCTCAGAAACTGTGAAGTCAGAGTAAATATGAACTTTGAAGCCAATGCTTTCTAAGGTATTTTTAAAGTTTTCGCAGTCCACAATGCGGGGAGATGATTTGAGATTAAGCTGAATTAGAAGAGGGCATGGTAAAATAGAATTTTTCATAACAACTTCAAAAGATTATTTAAAAAAAAAAAAAAAAAAAAAAAAAAACCTACCCGAGGAATAGAAAAATTCTCGTGATTAAAGATCAATGCAAGCCCACGCTCTTTGTGCTCCATGTTGTAGTGTGTGGCATTCTTTTTAGCTGGGGCCATTGCAGATGAGTGTGGCAGTCTATTGTCTTCAGATGCACTGGGCGAGTCTCCAGTCCCAATTGAAGGCATTACTAAAGAGAAGATCCTGGGGAGAAAACAAGATACATGGAAGTAATTATGTCGTCCTACACCCCCCTTCTTTACATTGTCATTGTGATATCTCGATATATTGATTGTGACTGTGATAACCCAGTGATGACAAATTTTTGTCATTATTAATGGAAGAAAACAAGTCACTGTTACTGTCACGGCTGATATTCCTCCTTGGGTGGGACATAGGCTGGAATCCTTGGAAAATTTACCATAGGCAAGTCTTCTAGCTTTTGAAAAATGTGCCCAAATTATAGATTAAGTGTGGAGATTTGGGCTGTTGCCAAAATTGTGGGTCTGTTTTCGGATTATACGACAGGAAAAACTAATGCATACCTAACGCTACGTGCCATTGAAGTGACCAACCATATTCACTGGTGTCATGAGGGAATTACTCACCCCACCCACAAATGTACCGCAAAGGGCAGCAGTCTAACCGCACTTTTCAGCTACTATTTATTTCGTTATGTTGTAGAGGCAAAAATAAAACATATTGTAAGTATTGTTGTTGTCTTTGCGAATGTTGCCGAAAGAATTGTGATTCTTAAATACGAGACGGGAGAAAAAAAATGTCTCGCTGAATATTTTGAAATCGGGACAGTGTGCGATACTTACTTTGTACGTGGAATATTTGCGTAAGAATCAAACAAGGGGATAGTTAAAAAATGAAGTATCCATTTAAGCCAAAATACTTACAAATTACAGACAGCAGCAGCATATTTCTTCCCTTACTGCCGGATACTGACTGACCAGTCTCTTTGTGTCAACTGTCAACGTCTCAACAGGTAGGCC